GAAAGAAGAAGTAGTCATAAGAGGCCAAATGAAGTAGAGAATTCAGTGGAGGTCAGAAATCAAGGGAGTCGGAGGCTGAGGAGGTAAAGTGAAAGTCTCCAGAGGTCATTGAAGTGACTGCGCACTTGAGAAGCTGGAAGACTTGAAGGTATAAATAAGCAGCAAATTAGTGCCTGGGTTCCACAAGAAGAAGAAAAACATACTACTTCTCAAAGTTCCATAGCATAAATACACAAAATTATAGGAATGCTTTGGAAAAGTAGTTACTGTGACTGCATAGACTTAGAGTCATCACCCTAAATCAGTGGAAATGGCAATAATAATCCAATAAAAGAAGAAGCTTCCAGCTCCTGAAGTACTTCCTAACTTCTTTGGCATCAATGACCTACCTACTGCAATATCATATTCAAATCCTGTTTCCACTTTTAATATTTGAGTTGTTGAAAACATTTTGAATTCTGCTATTTTCTTCATTTGTTTGCAGAGTTTGGGGATGAACTCCACTGCCTCCTTGAGAATGTAAATGGAGAGCAACTTCTTTAGGTTTGTCACGTGCATGATTCCTAATTGGCAGAGGAAAAAAAACCCAGAAAACCTGTCTTAATTGTTTAAGTTTCTGTTTTGAAAGAAATTAGTACTTTGCATTTTAAAATTTAAGGTATAATTTGCTTTAAGTTCCTGATATCTTTGCAAGATGTCTGAAAGGAAAATCATAACCATATCTCATCTTTTAATACTAAGCAAAAACTGCAATTAGAAAATAATACTAAAACCAACTTATATTTTGTGTCAGAATACTCTAAGTTGTTTATAGGCAGATGTCCATGCCTTAACACCTTTTACTATTTTTGACATAATTTTAATTAGCAAATAGGGTTTACATTGAGATTTTGACACTTAAGCTGCACAACATAAATGACTTTGCATTGAAATGTTACATGAGGCTTCCCTTTTCTCCTACAGTGAAGATATATGTTCTGTTTTCTGTACAAGCAACACTTACAGTTACGGGAGCAGCAGTAGCTATCATGAAGGTATTTAAGAACTGACAGTGAGCCGGGCATGATGCCTCACGTCTGTAATCCCAGCACTTTGGGAGGCCGAAATGGGTGGATCACCTGAGGTCAGGAGTTCGAGACCAGCCTGGCTGACATGGTGAAACCCTGTCTCTACTAAAAATAAAGAAATTAGCTGGGGTGGTGGCAAATGCCTGTAATCCCAGCTACTTGGGAGGCTGAGGCAGGAGAATTGCTGGAACCCGGGAGGCAGAGGTTGCAGTGAACCGAGATCTCTCCATTGCATTCCAGCCTGGGTGGCAATAGCAAGACTCCGTCTCAAAAAAAGAACTGACAGTAAAAAGAAATATTTACTCACTTTTTAATATCAGTAATTACAATCATGTATAAATAATAGCTAACGTTTTCCGACATGCATCATAAGTGAGGCACTATGTTAAGTAAGGTAAGAACTATTATCTCCATTTCACGGACAAGGTAAATGAAATTTACTGAGGATAAGTATCTTGCTCAGGGTCTCATAGAAGGTGAGTGACTGTGAACACGGGCCTCTGTGGTTGCAAAGCCCTCGCTCTCACCCGGTATGGTGCACTGCCTCTTTGGGGGTTAATAAACACGTCATCTTTTATCAATAAAATGATGAAACAGTACCAGTACCTGCAGATTTTATGTATGAGTTGTATTAGGGATATAAGAATGGAAGCTTGAAGAGTTAATTCACTTCAATACTTACCACTGTTTCTTCATCAGTCAGTTACTCTTTACCCTCTTATGGAAATTAGAATGACAGCATCATTTGAGACAAAGAGGCACACTGCTTCAGCGGCCAGAGTTTTCACAGGATAGGGAAGGCACACTTGAGATCAATGGGTGAGGAAGAGTGGAGGGGTATATAGCCAGGTAGTGTGAACTTCCAAGGAGTGGTGATCAAGTGGTAAGATGAGTAATGCTCTGAAAGTGGTCTTGGGTGATGAGTGGTATTTGGGGTTTGGGAGAATATGATCTCCATGAGTATGTGTTGAATGAATTGGTGGTTAATGTGAACAATAGGAAAATTCAGGGAGCCTTTACAGAGGATGACCTTAAGAGTTTTATCACTCTAAGCATCACAACGGTGGAAACTTTGAAATTTTGACTGTGGACAAGGCTGTTTTGCGTAGAAATGGGAGTGGGTACGAGGCAGTAACAAGAGGCAGTAATGGGCTGTGAAATGAAAAGGTCTAACCGGTATTATTCCTCAGTGATCTGTGCATGACCTATCTTATTTAACATTGATCACAAACTACTGTTGTTGCAACTACACAGTGAAATATCAAAATGTGCAGACAGCATTTTTTTAACTAGTGAAATACCAAGCCAGTGAGATTAAATTACAAGAAGAACTGGCCAAGTCTGTGTGATAGGGCAGGAAATCCCAATATGGAAAGAATGCCCTTAAAGAAATACTTTAATTTTTTGTTGCCTAATAACTCAGAATATAGAATAAAAAAGTGAGAGATTGTATACTGTTCTCTAGAAAAATACTGGTTCAATATACCAGAGTGGCTAAAACAAATTCAGTAAAATATTGGGAGAAAAAGAATATTGAAAGAAAAGAGGAAAATACTTTAGGTTTGTCCTATATACAGTTCTGGATATTGAATTTCAGTAACATAGAGTCAGATTCAGAAATGGCAATCAACATTGTCAAAATACCAGCATAAAGAGTTCAAGATTTTGAATTAAATAATCTGGACTAAAGGCCTAATTCCTAACAACTTCCTACTGGTTTTAAACAAGCCACTGAATTTCTCCGCACCTAGAGTCTCCCCTGCTTTGGGATAACAATTTTATTGGGCCTACCTACCTCACAGGTTTGCTTTGAGAACCAAAGAAGATAATAAATGGTAAATAAACCTATAAAATAAACATGTTACCTGTTTTCATAAATACATTAATCATTGCCACTCTTATTATTAATCCTGACTACTATACAAGTAGAGATTAAAAAATGGTCCCTGCTCACAGGGGCTCATAGTTCAGGGAACAGGGATGGTGAGGAGTATAGTGGGGACCAAGGAGGCAAGAGACAGTGGTAATAGAGTGGAAAGGCCAAGGTGGAGGGCACAGAGGAAATGGACAGAGTAATTAGGTATTCTTAATCAGGGAAAGCTGAGGATTGAGAAGGTACATGAAATCAACAAGTGTGATATCATTTAAGCGCATGTGCTTACCAAATTCAGTGGTGGTACAATGGACTGAATGTTTGTATCCTTCAGAATTTATATGTTGAAAATTTATAGGATCTAATTACTATAGGATCTCAAAAGGTGGGACCTTTGAGAAGTAATGAGATCATGAGGACAGAGCCCTTGTGAATGGGACTAGTGCCCTTAGAAAAGAGACCCCCGAGAGCTCCCTCACTCCTTTTCTCTGATGTGAAGACACAGAAAGAGATTGAAGTCTATTAACTAGAGAGCGAGCCCCGCCAGACACTGAATTTGCAGTTGCCTTGATCTTGGACTCTACCCACCAGAACTATGAGGAATAAATGCTTGGTTTTTAGAAATTAGATAATGTTTTTAAGAGACAGAGTCTTGCCATATTGCCCAGGCTGGCCTTAAACACATGGTTCAAACATTCCTCCTGCTTCAGCCTCCCGAGTAGCTGGGACTATAGGCAGGTACCACTGCACCCAGCTTAAATGCTTATTGAGACTGCCCAGTCTATGGAGTTTTTGTTATAGCTGCCCAGCTATATATACCAACAGACTAAGACAGTTGGTATATTAGAACAAGGAGCAGCCTTGAAACCTGCAGTAAGTTTACGACAAGTTAAAGATGCACTATGTAACTTGGTAGAGAATTATGGCAGAAATTTCCCCTTGTGGTAACACATTTAGTGGTGTTTAGCTCACTCATTCATTTGATAAATATTTTGAGAATCTCTTTGTTCCAGGGATAGTTTAGATTTGTTATGTATCCATTGGTGAAAATCCATTGTATCCATTGGGCAAAAATCCCTGACTTCACGGAGGGAGAGAGACAATAAACAAGGAACTTAATTATTTAATTACTTGTAATAAAAGAAGATAAGTCTACAAAAAAAAAATAAAGCAGGATAAGAGAGATCGGGAATGTGGGGATGAGGGTGATATCATCTTTACTAGGATAGTTAAAGTAGGCCTCCTTGAGGAGCATTTTAACGAAGGTGTGATGATTTCTGTGTGTGTATTCCTTCTATTTCTGCCCCATTTTAGTTGCTTAGGAAGTCTTCAGACTGATTATGCAGTTTCTGAATTGTCTCCCGCGTTTGAGGAAGACTTCAGCCTGCATCTGTCCAGGCCTGGTGTGATTGTGGCTCTCCCATAGAGTAGGCCATCTTGTTCTACACTGTTCTATCGCTGTCAGTCTTTTTTAGCTCCAGGGTAAACGGCTCTTCTGACCTGATGACCACTACAATACTCTCCACTTATATTCTGTGTTTCTCACATGCTTCCTTCTTCTTTACTGTGAGGCTGTTTACGCCCTTGTCTTTCTGGGAGGAAAGCTTGAGCTCCAGATAAGGAATAATCAGCCCTCCTCACGTAGCCACAAGACCTCACTTATTGGCCCCACCCACTCAAGGAGGTATGACTGCATGATTAATCAGTCCAGCTCCTTCCAAGATAAGGCACCTCTGCCTTCTGATTATTTAAGTTTATTACTTTTTCTTCCTAATTTTAGCTATGTGTTATTTCTAACATGAGAATCAATGGTGTTTGGTTATACGAATGCACTCACTACCCTGAAACCACCTTTGCAAAGGTTATGAGAATGAAAGAAATCTAACATGGCTAACTCCATCTTGTTTCAAGCCTCACAGGCGGGCTGGCTTCACTCATTCCTGGATGTAGGCCAAGGTAACCATGAAAGGAATTTAGTTTATAGTTTAACTTTGGAGCAAGGATAATGATAGTCTCTACCTAAAACTAGCTCCCTCCTTGCTCAAGGCCTGAAAACTTATGAAAGGCCAGAAGATTAGGATTATGAGAGGGACCTGAACTCTGCTAAAATACAGGCATAGTTTTTATAATCCATTACTGCTCATCAGGAGTCAGGTGGTCAGAGGTCAGAAGATTTGTGACTTCCCTAATTGCTCCTATAGATAACATCACTATTGTAGAGTGTATGAGTGGTCTTCTGAGATGTTTTTCAGATTTTTGCATTTGACAACTGACTGACTCTACCTGGTCCTGTGACTCATGACTCAACTGGTCCTGTGGCTTCTACCTAGAGGTGGACACAGCACATGAGGACTGTTTCTGACACACCCATCCCCAACCAATCAGTAGTACCCATTCCCTAGCTCCCTTCCTACCAAATTATATGTAAAAACCCTAGCCTCTGTGTTCTTGGGGTGACTGAGTTGAGTGATAACTCCAGTTCTTCCATGTGGCTGGCCTTTGTTAATTCAACTCTTTCTTTACTGCAGTGTACCATGATCTCAGTGAATTGATTTTATCTGTACAACAGGCAGGAAGAAGCTGTCAGATAGTTACAATCCCAACAAGTGAAACAGGTCAGAAATGAAAGTTTAGGAAATGTTTAAAATTTTTCCTGGATTGCACATATATAATAGGTTTTAGTGTGGGTTATATAAATGTTTGGGAGGTTTACCTCCCTGACCTTTAAGTCTAACGAGGATCATGATCTTTCTTTCTGCCATATCCCTGGTACCCCGGTCAGAGAGAGAATGGTTATGCCATGGACATTACGCTTTAAAAGAATATGAAAAAAATAGGCAGGTTTTACAGGATGAAAACATGAAGAAATGGTATATGCTCTGAGGTTGCTTACATTATACAAGATACTAATTTCTAAATAAATAATTTTATGAGATGGTTATTGAGTCATGTTTATGCCTGAAGATGATTAATATGAGGAAATGATCTTAAATTACATGTGTCAAACAAATCAATAGTTAGGCTTGGGGATCTGACCCTCTAGTTGATTAACAAGGAATAGGCCATAAGGGATGAAGAATGACATAGTTAAAAGGCTGGAGATATTCAAATATCTTCAAGTTATTAAAGTATCTTGAATATTTTCAAGAGGAAGAAATAATCCTTTTCCCCTTATGGTTTTAACTAGAGACAGGTATAGATACTGAAAATTAGAAGCCCCAACTTATTTAATTCATACTTAGTAATTTTTTTTTCAGATTAACTCACAAATTATAGTGGTATTTAATGAGAAACTTTAAGAAGAAAAATGTATTGACACAAGTACTTTGTTAAAGTAAAGCGCTCAACTACTTACCTTTTCTTTTTGTAATGAAAAAGAGCAAAGAATATTTATATGTCAAGCCATAACATATAGAGAACATTAGTTAGGAAGGAAGGAAATTTTAATCTTGACTAATTCAGTATTTCCCATGAAATTGACTAGATTGTTTACAGCAAGATCTGCTATGACAAACTACTTTTTAAAAAATGTATTGGCATCATTGTGAAAATCAAAACTTCAATTTCTGTAAAGCTTATTATAGGAAACTTCACTTGTTTAGACTATTTTCTATAGAAAATCCCCCTCACTTAAAAGTTACAAATTCAGTTTTTAATGAGTATAGAATTTGCTTATCAACCTTATAACATTGATATTATTGATTCTGGCCTCATTGATGTTGTTATAATTCAATCAACCAGTACAAAAGCTGTGTACTCTTCCCTGTCAATGACATTTTTAAAAATTCAGTTCATAATCTTTGGGAGTTTTTTTTTTTTTCAAGTTTAAAAAGTTAGTAGTGGCCAGGCACAGTGGCTCACACCTGTAATCTCAGCACTTTGGGAGGCTGTGGCAGGCAGATCACTTGAGGTCAGGAGTTCGAGACTAGCCTGGCCAATATGGCAAAACCCTGTCTCTACTAAATATGCAAAAATTGGCCAGGCACAGTGGCACATGCCTATAGTCCCTGCTACTTGGGAGGCGGAGGCATGAGAATATCTTGAACCTGGGAGGCAGAGGTTGCAGTGAGCCGAGATCACACCACTGCACTCCAGCCCGGGTGACAGAGTGAGACTCTATCTCAAAAAAAAAAACCACACACAAAAAAACAGTTAATGGTGTTTACAAAATATTTGTTTATATGTTAAAATACCCAATGGAAAGTCTCAATTCTTCCCCACTGTCAGCCTGTGTATGCCATATGATCTGTGTGCCATAACAGACCTAATCTAACTTCTAGTGCTATGATAGGATCTGGGCTTAGAGGTCAGTGTTTGCAACGTCTTAGCAAAACTTGGATATCAACAGCCTCATGAAAACCTTTTTAAAAAATCCTTCTGCCTACTTTTTGTAAAACTCAATTCCTTTTCAAAATGCTGTGTGTGTGTGTGTGTGTGTGTGTGTGTGTGTGTGTGTGTGTTTCGAGATGGAGTCTCACTCTGTTGTCCAGGCTGGAGTGCGGTGGCACAATCTTGGCTCACAACAACCTTCACCTCCCAGGTTCAAGCAATTCTCATGCTTCTGTCTCCAAGGTCACTGGGATTACAGGCATGTGCTACCTTATCAGGCAAATTTTTTGTATGTTTAGTAGAGATGGGGTTTTACCATGTTGCCCAGGCTGGTCTCAAACTCCTGGCCTCAAGTGATCTGCCCACCTTGGCCTCTCACCATGCTGAAATTATAGGCATGAGTCACCGTACCTGGCCAAAATGCTGGTATTTCAAACAGTTGTTTTTATTATCCTATACATTGCCTTTAGTGTGAATACCTCTTTGTCTATACTGTTTGTCAAGGGCCTTCTTTATAAGAATTACCACATCCGTTTATGTAGCAACGGGTTTGTTTGACTTTTACTTTCTTTGGACTTCCAAGAGGGGGTAAGTACAGTTTACATTTCTTGGGATAATATGCGGATACTTACCCTTTTCTGCACTTTAGAATTATCCAAGAGAGGAAAATGGTGAATAAAATAAGGAAGATTATACCAGACGAAGTGCCTAGGCAATAAAACAAGGTAATTAAATGCATGAAGACTGTAACTCACAGGTTTTAAATGCTATCTTAGTATCCATTCTCACTACAGATTGCCAATGCTTTTTTTTTTTTAAGGTGTAACTATACATTCTGCTTTACTCTGGGTTTCTGTAGCATTAGTCTTACTCCCACAGAGGTATTATAGTTAAGGGGTGAGCTGAGCTGTTTTGTAACCTTTAGTCCAACATCAGCCTTTCCACAAGTAAGTGAGAACCATATGGTGCAGCTGCCCACTGGCTCTCCATGGCCCTGCCCATGTCTCTTGCCTAAGACTTAACACACAGGCATTTCATTGTGACAATACGGGAATTTTCTCTCTTGTTGAATTATATATTGAGGTCCTTTATCCATTTATTGATTGTTGAAGTGCACAGTCTCCACAGATAGGTAGATTGCCTGGTTAAACCCAGGCTACCCCATTCTGTGGTCTTGGGCAAGTTACGTAAACCTCTGTATCTCAGTGTCCATGTGTGTAAAAAGGGATGTAAGAATACTGTGCCACAGAGGAAGCAAACTCTATTACAAAACTATTCTTCTGATATAGGCAGATCACAGATTTGGGCTCAGAAGACTGGTCTGTGGCTATTTGTGCGAATGGGCGTGATCACCATTTGGAAGCATACTCCAGGTTATAACCCAAAGAAGAAGTTACATTCTCCTACCACATTCAAATAAAGATTTTTTGACACTGATGAATGACTATTCATTTGTAATGGTTCAAAGACAGTAAAGAGCCTTTGATGAAGGTTCCTCAGTATGCATATGACGATGCTAGTTTCACCATATCCTGGCGTAAACTCATCATTATTTTCTTTCTAGTTGAACTTACAACTCAAGATATCTTGATCTCTCTTTTTACATTTCATTCATTATAGGTAGGTACTCACTGTTAAAGATGCCAGAATTCCTCAGCAAACCCTTCATAAAACTTACCAACTATGAGAGCATTATGTGCACCTAAAAGGAAGACAAAAGCCACAAAAAGGTCACTCTGGCATGCAACATGATTGAACAGGCCTCTCAGCCAGTGACAAGTCATCCTGATTTTTCTTCAGCACTCAGTCTTAACATTTTTTTTTAATGCAAAAAGCCATTGGTTTCATTCACATACTCTCGTTTTACCTTCTGCACTCAGAGAAGTCTTTTAAAAAATTAATACAATTACGGAAGAAATTTATAACACAGAACTAAAGAAAAAAAGTCACCCCAAATCCTAGTACCCGAAAAGTGTTTTCATACATTCTGTTTGGTACATTTTCTCATATGTGTGTTTTCAGATAATTATATAGAAGAAAAATAAGTTGCAATAAAGGCTAAGTAGTGTAATCTAGTAGATGCATCAGAGTGTATTCAGTGACTTCTACTGTGTATTTCAGTTGCTTCTAGTTTCCCATGAAACCCTTAAGAAAATGCACAAAATATTTTTATGTTATACATCATTTCCTTAGATTAAATATGTAGAAGGTCTGACTGGCAGGAATAGTTGTATTATTGTCCACATACATTGCATAATTGTTTTTCATCAGGGTTTTTGCAAATTTACAACAGCACCTTCAACATACAACAATATCCATTTCATCACATCCTTGATTTTTACTGGGTATTCACCTAAAAACCTTTTTGTTGTTAATTTAATTGACAATTAAAAAACAATGTTTTGTTCTTGTTGCCCAGACTGGAGTGCAATGGCAGAATCTCGGCTCACTGCAACCTCTACTTCCCCCATTCAAGCGATTCTCCTGCCTCAGCCGCCTGAGTAGCTGAAAGGATTACAGGTGCCTGTCACCACGCCTGGCTAGTTTTTGTTTTTTTTTTTAGTAGAAAGGGGTTTCACCAATGTTAGCCAGGTTGGTCTCGAGTTCCTGACCTCAGGTGATCCATCCGCCTCAGCCTCCCAAAGTGCTGGGATTACAGACATGAGCCACCATACCCTGCCCCTTTATTTTATTAATATCAGTTTCGTCCCACTTGTTTACATGTTTCTTCTTGTGCTGGTGCCAAGTAACTTTTGTATTATTGGCTGATGTTTTGTTCTAATATTTGATAGGGTTAGTTCCCCAACTACCTGAATTTTCTGTCAGTCCCAGCCAGATCTTCAGAATACTCTAAATCCAGTTGTTAGTAAGTTATCCAGTGAGATTTTTGCCAAAAAAGTGAATATAATTTGATTTCAAGGGAATGTCAAGCTGATAATTGAGAAATATTATCTGTGAGTCATATTGGTTAGCACATTTACAGGATTAATTGTAAAAATGGATCTTGAACAATCTTGGTGTAGAACATGTATTAGAAGAGTCATAAGAGAGGGGGAGAGGAGAAAGTATAGCACTAAATTAGATTAAGAAAGGCTGTTCATTATTAATTTTGCTCATCTGTTCCTTGATGTGGGTGGAATTTTCTATCTTACAGTATCCCCCAGTTGCCAGCAGAGGGCTCAATGACGCATGCTACAGAGCTCAATGATACACGATTTCTAAATCTGCTCTATCCAGCGGTGCTAGCTTAAAATCCTGTCGCCTACAGTGGTGTGAGAGACAGGCCGGCTGCTCTCCGCAGTTTGGAAGGTGCTCCCTAACTCATGCTGAAAACATTTCTTTTAAGGCTCATAGGCTGTAAATAAATCATTACTGTGTGGCTCATGCAACCACAGAGTGATATAGACAAAAAAGGTGCAGAGCTGGAGTGAGAGGCCTGAGAAGAGAAAGTCTGGCCTTACTCTCACTAGGAGATTTTTGGAAGAGGTGGATGCACGTATCGTACTCCTTAGCTCGTAGCATACACCGTAAATATCACACCACACCTGATGCCAATATGGATCAAGTTAACCGTGATCATGACTGGGGAACCATGACCAGGAAGTAAACATGACCGGGAAGGGCCCACGTTCCTTGCACTTGCACTTACGAGGGGTACATATGGCCAGAGGAGGGTCCCATCTGTCATCCGCCTGGCACTGGCTCCGGGGACTGCCTTCCAGAGTATACCCATCTTCACACTCCAGAGTTACATAATCTCCATAGTGATATACTTTTCTCATTTCTAACTTCTTTGGGATTCCATTCATAAACTGTGGGAAGCTACAATTTACCTCTGAAATGAGACAAATCATAAGGAAATTGATATTTTATTGTTGATTGTTGGTTTTATCTACCAGGATAGAAGGCTCTATGACTCCAAAACCCATTTTGCCTTGGCCAAGAGGAAGCATATTTTTAATCAGGAATTATTAATCTTACTCTTCCAAAAAACTTATGATTTAACATTTTCTGACTCCGATTTCTTAATGTAAAGTAAGAGACTATGGAATGTACTGTGCATCGACTTTTGATTAACAGCTCTGCAACTGGAAAGCTGTGGTAAGATTAGGAATTAAGCTAACTGTGTTCTAGGCCTGGAGCCACTTGGGTCACGCTATAAGGAAAGGGGGTACCACATTAACTCTCTCCAGCTTCACAACAAATACTGGTACTCTGCTCTTTATTAAACGCATTATTCTGGCCCATTTCTGCACATAGAACAAAGAAGTTAGTAAATCATCATTCTGAATTTAAAATACCCCTCCCCTCCCCTCCCTTTCTTTCTTTTTCTTGCTCTGTCACCCAGGTAGGAATGCAGAGGTACTATCTGGGCTCACTGCAACCTCCACCTCCTGGGTTCAGGCAATTCTCCTGCTTCAGCCTCCCGAGTAGCTGGGACTACATGCATGCACCACCACACCCAGATAATTTTTTTATTTTGGTGGAGATGGGGTTTCACCATGTTGTCCAGGCTGGTCTCAAATTTCTGACCTAAGGTGATCTGCCCACCTTGCCCTCCCACAGTGCTGGGATTATAAGCCTGAACCACTGTGCCTGGCCTGAATTTAAAATACGTCTTTCTGATTAATTTGCTTTAGTTCATTTAACTCATTATTTGTTTTACTTTCTTTTTCTGCCCAGCCATCAGTTTGTCCTTCATCTTTAAGCACAGACTTCTTTTCAGTTGTAATAGTCTCAAAATTAGCCTACAATATTTTTTCCTCTATACAAACCAAGAAGGCAAAGTGATATTTCTTAAAGTGTGGTCTGTGGTCTTTCTAGGTCAGAACATTCTGATGAGTTTGTTAAAAACAGACTTTTGACCTCACTTCAAAACAGAATCAGAGTCCATGGAATGGAGTTTGAGGATCTGTCTTTTTAACAAGTTTTCCAGCTGATTTTGCTAATGCTCTGGATGGAGAAACACTGCCATCGACCATGCAAAGAAGACAGTTAATAAGATGAAATGAAAGCTGCCAAGAAGACAAAATATTACCCTTTTCATTATAATCATTTCAATGGTCTCTCAGCCCTACAAGCCTCATGCATCAATTTTCTATATAACCCAGCAAGAATAAGAAATACAGAGAAATGAGTCACCTTTGCAAGAGTGATCCAATTGGCTCCAGGTTCCCTGTTCTGTACAGAAAATGAAGGCCTTTCCCACTAACAGGTAGCCGGGGTCACAAATGTAGTTGATTATCATACCAGGTAGATATGGAGGTACATGTCCTCCAATGTAATGCCCATTTTGGATCTTGGGTAGATGTGGACAGGCTAAACAAGTTCCCACACAAACACAAGGAAAAACACTCAGTTAAACATAGATATATGAACACACCAACACATCCAATAATATCTCTGGCTATTAGAGGTACATGAAGACCTGAGTCAGCCAAGTCATAAGCCACTCACTCTTATTTGATCAGTGAAAGATGGTTTCTCTAAACCTCGACCTCAAGGCATTTAAACAGTATCCTCTACAGTCTCTACCTGCAAACTGTGTCAGATGGGGGAGTACCATAGGGATTGACAAGCTACTGATTCAGTGCTGTTCTCTCCTTACAGGAGGATGGAGCTGGTGTGGGCAGTCACAGCCACAAATGCACCAACGATTGTCAGGTACTGTCGTTTAAAGCCAGACTAATATATTAAAAAAAGGAGCTATGGAGGCTAAGAGTACAATCTTAAACTCTGTGTCTGCAGGGCCTCCTGACTTCCCTTTGTTAATGGTGAGGTGAAGGAGTCCGTGCCTTGAACAAACACTTGGAAACAACCTAAAAAGTATAAATCCCTACATCTGAGTTTCTTAAATTACTTTATAGCATTATCAGTTCTGAAGGAAATTACGTCATCAACATGTACTTTTTGTGCAGCACATTCATCTATCCAGGATAAAGACAACTCATAGTAGTACAGGAAGAATCAAACAAAATTCTTTAGCATTTGTTTTCAGTACTTTGAAAATATTCTCTGCGAAATCTGGACCTCACCAATTCTCTTCACTGTCCACCCCTTTCTCTCCTTACCATCCCTCACTCCTCACCCCATAGGAAGGGTCATCAGAATACCCACAATTGAGACACAGCCTGCCAATCTAGAACCCGTTTGTCATTCTCTTGGGACATAGTTTTTTCTCTGACAGTCATTGCAAAGCAAAATTTTCATAAGCAAAAATGACTGTCTCTACAGAAATGTAGAGGTTGTCACCTAGATATTCTGAACCCGTTTAGGATATGTGGAAGCAGATACTGACCAGCAGGAGCAGAAAGTTCACAGCGAGGGGCGGGGCTGCTCCAAACCCCATTCCCTTGAGGGTCACTTGTGCAGCGGATGGTGCTCTCCCCAATGAGGTTGAAGGTCATCCCTCTGTCTGGGTGGGGGTCGCATGTGTAAGATACTTCTTTTCCATAGGGAATATCTCCAAGGGGAGGTCCTGTATGTGTCCCATTAAGGATAGCTGGAGGATTTGGACAAAATATTTCTAGAAAGAAAACAAGAGCTTTAAGTTCTATTAGAGTTTCAAATAAGATGACTGAAATCATAGTGACCTGTGACTGTGCTCTGAATAAATCGTTTTTCTTTTAGAAAGAATATAACTAAGGTGGATGAAATTTAAGTCTGTAAGGCTTTTGCTGAGAAGGAACTAACTGATGGGAGACCTAAATTACAGTTTCTTGCAAAAGCCCAAAGACGGTGTTCCTTGACCAACCAGGTAGCTACATTCATAATGAATTTGGAAAGTAATTATTTCTATTTTTAACAACACCCATTTGGTTGCCTACTTTAAATCAGGCATAGAGAGATTCTTGGGTTGACAATGAGGTCAAAGACAGACAAAGTTTGGGCCATCAGAGACCATAAGTTCCAAGGAAATCTATGAACTTTAATAAACATGCACTATCATCTTTAGCAATGTAAGTGTTTCTTGGTGATTCAAGACCACTGCTATTAGTACCAATACCAACTATCTAGTGGTGTCATCAGACTACACTGGTAAGGCTCTTTTTACCAAGATTAAATGGTGGCAAAGGGCCTTTTTTTCTTTCTTCCAAATTTTTAGCCATCATTTCTTCCTCCTTTTAGTCTGCTTAGAACAGTTCCTTCCCTAAAATCAACTGATGCTTCTAAATGAATTTGGGAAGAGATGCCCAAGTATATCAGAATTAGTACATCAAACACTGATTAAATTCTCATGCTTGAATTTTACTTGTGTTTTTCCTAAGTTTATTTATATATTTATTTTCGGCTCTATGGGTCTCTGTAAGGTTGAGTTTATTGAATACTTGAGTTTCCTCAGGTATTGAATGTTCTTCACCATAATACTCCCCATAAGGTATCCGAATTAATTTCTGTAAGTTATTTTAACAATACAAATTAAAATAAACATTTTTTCAATCATCAGGAAAAAAAGGCTTAAAAAATTTTTGCCTTGCTCTAGTAGACAGAATAGGATAAATCAGTAATGTCTTGGTATATAAAACATACTTTTATCTACCAGTTTCTGAATTTTGGCATTTTTTATTTAAGTGGATGGTTTGGAAACTTAGGTCACCTCTTCAGACACTGATTCATCACCCTAGCTCCTTCCACCATACTAATTTACCCTGTAACTCTGTTTTATCTTCTCTCCAACATATCCCTATTTAACTATCATTTTATATATTATAATTTTCGCATATTTAATTTAAGCGCATGATTTGGAAACGTAGGACATCTCATCATGCCAGACACTGATGCATTATCCCAGCTCCTTCCACCGTATTAATCTACCATGTAACTCTGTTTTATTTTCTCTATAACATATCCCTATTTACCATTTTATATGTTATAATTTGTAGAATTTTGTTTACTTATTTATTTTCTTGTTCATAGTCCACTTCCCAATAAGAAAATACACTCCAGGAAAGTAGGGAGGCATCTTCACTATTCATTCATGGTTCATTGCTTTTTCTACACATGGAAAGTTATGGCACATGGGAAGTCCTATGTCATTTAATACTGTAGGCTAAATAACAGGCTGACTAAATTGTTTATGATGTGTGGGAAGATAAAAGAACATCAAAATTTGGCTGGGCATGGTGGCTCACACTTGTAATTCTAGCACTTTGGGAGGCCACAAGGTGGGAGGATAGCTTAAGCCCAGGAGTTTGAGACCAGCCTGGACAATATGACAAGACTCCATCTCTACAAAAAGTACAAAACATAGCCAGGTGTGGTGCCATGCACCTGTGGTCCCAACTACTGGGAGGCTGAGGTAGGAGGATTGCTTGAGTCCGGGAAGTTGAGGCTGCAGTGAGCTGTGATTGCACCACTTAACTCTGTCCTGGGTGACTCTTGTCTCAAAAAAGAAAAAACAAGAAAACAAAAATTTTAAGAAAGATTACTCCTTGGTAAGGAAACTAAAAAATAAATGACTGAATAAAACTTGCTGCACCTTATGTCATCTAGTTTCTTGCCACACATTTCCCACAAAATTAAACACTGTCATTAAGCTAAGTGATTTACAGATTAGTAACAAAAACACGTGTCATAGAAGACCTACAAGACCTTTCTTGAAATTCTTCCAACAAAGAAGTATTTTTATCAGCAATTTAGTTAAGTAAAGATCCGTACAGTAGGTGATTCCATGCAGAATAACACACTGGAAAACAAAAATAAGGAGAGCTATCCAAACTGCATAGTTGTTCTTCCTACTCACGTTCACACACTGGAGCACTGCTATTCCAAAGGGCTTTCATTCCAGTCAAAACACAATGACTAGCAGACCTGCCTTTTAATCGGAACCTAAAAAAAAAAAAAAAAAGTGGTAGCAAATGTGTGAGCAATTCCCATCTCTCCCTTGATTTCTTCACTCATAGATGCTCAGCTTCCTCACTACCATTTCCTCCTTGACTAGTATTTGGTTCTTAGGTTCAGGCCCAGCTAAAAGTCTCAGTTAATTAGGGATCTGAATTCTTCAGTAGCTGGCAGAAACTCAAAGGCCAATTTATTATAAAGAATCATGGTACCCTGTGACTGGCAAAGCAATTAGAGCTGATGTTGATAATTGCCATATAAACTTCATAGCCCAGCATCACCTACAGAATGCATGAACACAGAGCCAGACTTCTCCATGTGCACAAGAGCCATAACCTTCAGGTGTCATCTTTCACTGATGGCTCTGTAACACCCCACTTATTCTCCTTAGTTGGTCATGAGGCAGAACAGCTCTTGATTTGGTAAGCAAAGCAAGGAACATCTAGAAAGAGAATGGGCATTGTTCTTCTTGCCATGACAACTGTAACAAGGCAGAGGAGGCTCATAGAAGCATGCTGAGCCACATGCTTTAAGAAATAAAGAAGGATCAGGGGAAGAGTCTTTGCCACCCCAAAATGCCCAACTTGTTGTTGAATCCCACTACTGAAATCATTCTGAAATTGGAAATCATTATCGGGTGATGGACTTTGTAAATGCCAAAGATCCCTTGGAAATCATTAAAATTAACTGCTTAATTATCCAATCTAGCCTCAGACTCATAGGGCACACCAAAAAGAGTAATGGAAACACATAAACAACTAATAGTACCACTTGAAACTGATACAAGCAGGAGACAGACAAATCCGAGGCAGATAGGGGCAGGTCCACAGTGAAACGTGGCCTTCAAGCCGAAGACAGTTTAAAGCCTACCTACAAGTTCCAGGTAAACCCATGGGCTGGATGGAGAACCTCTCTTCCCATTTGGCATGCTTTCCTCTGATTGATCCCCACCCATCATCTGTTTTACATATACCTGCCCTTCTCTAAATTGTTTTTTACACTGTCGTGCCCAACTTTGAGTGATGGCTTTGTTTTAGCCTTTTTTGCATACTCACAAACCAATCAGCACACACTCCCTGTTCTGAATCCATAAAAGCCCCAGAACCAGCCACACTGAGAGAGAGACCCCCTGACTTCATCCGGGGGACCACCCTTGTGTCTCTTCTCCACTGAGAAGTTGTTTTATTGCTCAATAACAACATTATTCTCTACCCTCCTCACCCTTTGTCAGCATAACCTTATTCTTCTTGGATTCGGGACAAGAACTCAGGACCTACCAAACGCAGTTACAAAGAAGGCTGTAACACAGTAACCTTCCACCCTCTGCTAGAGGAGGGCAGCTGCTCCATGTGACAGGAAGCAGCAGTGGGCCAAGCCCACCCTGGAGATGCAGGCCTGGGCAGGGTAATGGGACTGACAGAGCTGTTAACACGCCAACATCTGCTGGGCTGCAGGCATTATCAAATGCTAAGAGCTATTTGCATGCTGTAGCACCCTCTCTGGGGCTTTGCAGTCATGGGCACCCCTGTTTGGGCACTACCATGTTCCCTTCAGTGTGACATGCCTGGTCAAGCCGCAAAACCCACATGAAGCCCACTCCTGTGCCGTTGCTTAGAGTGGCCAGCCAGACCCCACACTCGCTCACTCACACACCCCCTCCCACCAGGGGCTGATCATGCAGTTGTGGCAGCCATGCCATCCACATCAGAGCACAAGCCAGGTGTGGCACGATGGGTCGAGTAGATGTGGTGCCTCCTGTAGTGAGCCCAGGTCGAGCAAGGCCTGATTGGGGCATTATTGGTTGGAGGTCGCTGGCTGGCAAAATGGCTGAGAAAAGTCCTGCATCAAAACCATTACACTGGCCATTCCTGACATGAAGATATGTAATTGGATTAAAACATACTTATCCATATGATATTACAGATTCCAGTATCGATTGGCTTTAAGCTTCCTAAAACAACCTTTGCCTTATTACGGGGCAACCAATTTTTCATCTTACTCATCAATTTTTTTCTTGCATAACTTATATAAAATTATATTCTTTTGCCTCCAAATAAATATGTACCCATTCATTTCAAGTTCCAACAGTGTACTCAAGCTCAGTGACTATATTTAGGTTTGTAACTGATATGGAGCTGTATGTGCCATTTCTTGTCATCTTCTGAAAGTGATGCCATTTACTTCCTACCCTTATTTCAAAACTACCCTTCCATAAATTAATCTCTCTGGGTAATTCTTATCTACTAGGTCAGCTCCTTTTTTGGATTAACCCCTGAACTCAGAAGAGTCATTCTCCACACTGAGTCCTTGGTCTCAACTCTGGGTCACACTCACCCTTCATCACAAGCAAAGGAAACCTTTGCTCCAAGCTGGAGATTAAGTGGAAACAGCACACGGCCATGAGGGAGTTGGCCCAGGAAGTCATTACAGGATTTCACTAGAAGAAAAATTAAAAAACAGGAGTAAGACCTCCATGTGAGGGGTACAGAGAGCAATCTGGAAACCTGAGAGTCGAGACACCTGCACATCTGGGGGCTTCAGGGCTCCAGTCTCCCTGAGGTGTGCAGTGCAGAGAAGCAGCCCCTCTGAGGTCATAGCCGGGCTCACAGCTGTAGAACACTTCCTGTCCAGGTGAAAAGTGGTCCTGATCACTTGGGGTATGCTCACCATGCAGGATTTTTGGAGGTGGCTGACACACTGTGGGAAGGACAATTCCAGAGTACTTGTTAGTTATGGGGGAATTTCTTTTGCCAGACCTTATGCTTGCCAGAGAGCGTAAAAATTGTCATTGCAGAGTGCAGATATTAAAAGAGAACATTGGTCGTTCAGTAGTCACGTTTCACTAACAAGGAAACTAAGGATACCAAGCAGAGCTGTGACTAGAATCGAGGTGTCTCCAACACCTTGTCTGTGTTTTTTCTACTGAAACATGTTCCTAAGACTACAAGGTAGCATATTCCTCTTGCTTTCAACACTGGTTATGCAGCACAGAGTCATGAGTGCAGGTGATTTGGCCACTCTCCCGCTTCATTGAGAGGCTGTCTTTCAAGGTCATTGATAAGGCAACTGCAAGGGGTACCATTGCCAAGGTCTCACTTAACAGACCCCTTCAGCAAGTCTTCATTTTCCCCCTCTGCCCCTTTTTCAGTCAGCACAAGGTTGAACCGTTAGCTTTCTTTCTGTCTCTGTGGACCTGTCCTAATTCTTCACGCTCCATGTTAAGCCAGTCATTTCAACTAAGGAAAGAGGGGACATCAAGAACAAAATCCCCCAGGGTGGGGGAAGGTGGGAACAGTTAGTGGATACAAAAAAAAATGAATGAATAAGACCTAGTATTTGATAGCACAACAGGATGACTATAGTTAGTAATAACTTAATTGTACATTTGAGAATAAAAGTGTGTGATTGGATTATTTGTAACACAAAGGATAATGCTTAAGGGCATGGATACCTCATTCTCCATGATTACTTTTACATTGAATACCTGTATCAAAACATTTCATGTACTCCATAAATATATACACCTACTATGGACTCAAATATTAAAAATTAATAAATGAAAAATAAACAAAGAACAATCTCCCCAAAGGAAAAAAAAATGCTACAGGCTTTTTGGTGAGAGAACATATTCCTTAGAACACATTTTGACCCAAATTTTGGCTGCCTCCATGAATAGCACAATTGGTGTGTTCTCAGGGCATCAGAATGCATTTGAAACCAGGCATGGTGGCTCAGGCCTGTAATCCCAGTACTTTGGAAGGCTGAGGCAGGAGCACTGCTTGAGGACAGGAGCTCAAGATCAGCCTGGGCAACACAGCAAGACTATCTAAAAATAAATAAAAATTAACCAGGTGTGGCTGTGTGCACCTGTAGGTAGGAGGATGACATGAGCCCAGGAGTTACAGGCTTTGGTAAGCTATGATTGTACAACTGTGCTGCAGCGTGGGCAACAGAGCTGGAGTACAGTTGTCTCTGAAAAACAAACAAACAAACAATCAAGAAAACCCCAAAGAACGCATTTGAGCCTCAATCTGAACCATATATACTTAAAGAAAAATGAGTATATACCAAATATATATATAATATATATACGTGCTTGGATTTGAGCAAAGCACTTTTTCTGAGCTTTAGTCTTTTCAGTTACAATGTGAAAGAATTGAAGTCCAAGGCCTTTTTGATTTGATGCTCTCACTTTGGTCCTCATGGCTCACTTGCCTACTGCCACACTCCAGGAATAGAGACATTATCGTCACTATTACACATTATTGTTCATTATACATTTGACCATAGATTATCATTAGGCTCTGGAGTCAGAGCCTTGGAAAAGTGCTTTAACATTACTAAGACTCAGTTCTTTCGAAGTAAAATGGGGATACAAATAGTAGGTACCTCATATATTTGCTGTCAATATTACATTGTAAAATGCATATAAAATATGGCTACTATAAATGAAAAAAAGAATAAACTTTCAGACAATTGCTTTCAGACAATTATTAACAGAGATAACAGTGAAGCTGCTATTATGTTTAGAGTGTTTATGCCAATTTCATAGTTCTTACCCATTTCCTTAATTTCAACAACTCCTATCATCTAAGGGTACCCTCACACCCAGCAAAGCCTTTATGGGTCACACTCACCCCTGGAGCAGTGTGGCAGCTTGGGTCCCCATGTGTTGTTGGTCTGGCACTGCACGATGTGGAACCCTACCATGACAAAGCCGGGCTGACATCTAAAGCTCACGATCTCATTGAGGAAATATAAATTCCGATTTCCTGTCACTCTAATTCCATTTTCAACTTCTGGAGCTGTGCATTTATTAAGAGAAATGCACTGAGGTGGAGGGCTGTTCCAAACACCAACTTGATCATCTTTGCTGGTGCAGTATATTGATCGTTCTCCCACGAGCTCAAACAGCTGTTCTCCATCTGGTCCAGTGTGGCACTGGTAAGTTACCACTGTTCCATTGTGAAAAGAAGTTCTATTGTTGCTGTAGAAGTCTCCGTTGGATATGGTTGGAGGTGGCTCACAAGATATAACTGAGAGAAGGAAGAGTGTGGTAAAACAGCTTTTTAAAAATTATGAATTATTTTACTATGAATTTAAATACCAAATGCAACTAATTCAATGATTTTCTAAATGGAATCATGATACTGTTATTTTCTTAAAGTATTTGCTAATAATCAGACATTTTTACCTAGTTGAAATTTAGGTGCGTGTGATATGGGTTCTGTGCATAATAAATATTGAATATAAAAATCCATGTTTTTTTATGGTGTACATATTTATAATTTTAAGTGGATGATACATGTGATTTTATCACAGATTGTTAAGGTAGTTATTTACTGCTGGACTATTTTTCCTATAGGTTATTAAAATAACCTCTTTGCAGGTTAAATATACCACTTCTAGCATTATTTATCAAGCAAAAGAGAGAAAAGGAAATGCAAAAGATAAAGCATGAAAAAATGAAATAATGATGGATTTAAGAGCAATAAAGTGATAAACAAATACTGTGTTCTATCATAAGATAATAATGTTGACATATTGGCTAAGTGACTACATAGACATATACACATAACCACTATTGACTTATTTAAATAATTACTGACCTATAAAAGAAGTGGAAGTATTTTTCATAAAAGATAACCTCCTACAAATGGTGCCATGCTTAGAAAACTTCATATATTAAACTGATAATTCTTTGATAATTTGAATTATTTCATAGAATTTTAAGATCTTGGTAGGCATAGGAGGCAACTTACATACATTCTCATTCACTTAATCTTTAAAAGTCAATGTTATTTTTTGAGGGGAGGAATATTTGTGAATACAATGAACACATTCATTGTAGCAAGTTTATAAAATATGGACAAGCAGAAAGAAGAAAATGAAAATTGTTCAAAGATAACTATTTGTAATAATTTATATATATACTCTTAGATACATATGTAGATACATGCATAGGTATGTATGGATATATTTTTTATAATACCATTTTTGGTGGCTAGATAATAATCAGTCATGTTAACTATATAGATGTACTATGTATTCCCACTTGGATGAAGTATCACAACCTTTAATTCATCATGGTGCACTTTTTTACCTTTCTTAAAAGCTTATAGCCATTAAAATACACCTTATTTCTTCTATTAGCTATTTTCAAACCATGCTGAACATTCAGGTTGTTTCTCCACTATCACAAATATTATTGCATTGAGAATCTCTGGACCAAAATCATGGGAATATTTCACGATTATTTTCTTGGGATAAATTCTGGGAAATGGAATTGTGGGTCAGAGGCTATTTATGATCAGGCTTTTGTTTATATTGGTCATTAGCCTTCTGGAAGTCTGTGCCTACTTTTGCTGCCATCAACCCTGTGTGCAATGCTGATTTCTTCACAGCTGTAACACTTTGCCAATTTGCAATCATTCTTCCATGTTCTCAAAGTTTTGGAGATTAATTTAAAAATATCTTATGGGGGCCGGGCGCGGTGGCTCACGCCTATAATCCCAGCACTTTGGAAGGTCGAGGTGGTTGGATCACAAGGTCAAGAGATCGAGACCATCCTGGTCAACATGGTGAAACCCTGTCTCTACTAAAAATACAAAAATTAGCTGGGCATGGTGGTGCATGCCTGTAGTCCCAGCTACTCAGGAGGCTGAGGCAAGAGAATTGCTTGAATCCAGGATGTGGAGATGTTGCGGTAAGCCGAGATCATGCCATTGCACTTCAGCCTGGGTAACAAGAACGAAACTCCATCTCAAAAAAAAAAATCTATATATCTATATATCTATATATCTATCTTATGGGAAAAATGGAGGGTCAGCTAACCAAGAACAAATACAACTAAAGACATGAGCTTGGTTTTCTGTTCTTGTGTCAGTTTGATGAGAATGATGGTTTCCAGTTTCATCCATGTCCCTGGAAAGGACATGAGCTCATGTTTTTTATGGCTGCATAGTATTCCACGGTGTGTATGTGCCACATTTTCTTTTTCCAGTCTATCATTGATGGGCATTTGGGTTGGTTCCAAGTCTTTGCTATTGTGAACAGTGCCTCAATAAACACACGTGTGCATTCGTCTTTATAATAGAATGATTTCTCATTTGAAAGAATTGAAGAAGAATTAGAACTCAAAATAATCAGAGAATTAGGAAAATTGCTAAGAACTGTAAGAAGAATTCTTTTTATTATTTGGATTAGAATAACAAGAAAGTGAGTAGCCTACTTCCTGGAATTGTAACTTGATAGTAAGAGTTGGCAAAGACAGATCTAATTTTGTCCAATGACTTTAAAATTTACTCATTAAGGACAACGCTCTCTATACTGGAAAGGTTTACTATTACAATAGGAAAGTAGGGCTATTTGCCTGAGTTCAAGCCCCTAGTGTCAGATAAATCACCTTTTAAGGTAAAGAAAAGCCAGGAAGACCATGAAGCAACTGACTCGTATTTTCAAATACCTGAGGGACTACTTTGTGCAAGGTTTAGATATATGCTTCATAGTCCAGGGGCAAGTCAGGATCACATGGAGGAATTTGTGGAGAAAAATATTTCAACTTACTCTCACATATAGGTGCCTCCTTATCCCATGCGACATTATTGCCTGAGACGAGACAAACAGTGGATGGGGAACCAATGAGTCGAAACCTAGAGCAAAGGATAAAAAGTAATTATAGCAGGTAGACATTAGACATTATAGGACAAATTACACCGTGGCAGAACTCGGAAGGAAGAAACCCCATCTCCATCTGCAAAGTAGTCCTTTCTTTTTAAGGACAAGCTTACATTTTAACCTCCCCAATTCATTTTTATTCCTAGTCCCTCACAACTGAATGAGATATTTTCCTTATGTGACATGGGACATGTTTGTACTTAAGTTGTTAGGAAACTTCACACTTATTTTATCCATGTGGATGTCCAGCAAGGAAATGATAAGCTCCTAGATTAAGCAGGGAAGATGTCTTACTGAAATACATAACACTGTAGCACCCAGCTTAGTGACTTTCAAGCTTTGGGTGCTGTGCTCAGATAATCTCTTGCATAAAGGAAAGAACGGTGGATTACCCAGAAGAGTCAGTAAATGAGAGCCAGAGAAGATAGCTACACACCCCTACACTTGAAATATGAAAGGCAAGGATACTCACCCAGTTTGCCATAAAACCTTCCACAGTAGTCCACAAAACATAGAACATTTTGTCTTTTAAAAAATTTATTAGATATCTATAATGTTACTATGAGCAAGGTCACAAAGAATTCTGAGCAAAGCTATTCATGTGTTCTGGTGTACAGCAGAGCTAAACTTGACCAAATAAAAATTAAAGGGTAAAATGGAATGCCATATAACCATGAGGCAGTAACTGCAAGAGTTAAGAAGTTTTCCACTTGATTACGTAAGAAATGTGATCAGGGCAGTAACCATTTGCAGTCAAGACTGCTGGTGCCATCCCCAGTATCCACTTTCCTCTCCTTCATTAGTAATGGAAGCCTTTATTTTTAACTGGGCCATTGGCCACCTGCAATAAAGTTTTTGCTTCTCACCTTTCCTTACAGCCGGGTATAGCCATGTTACTAACTTCTGACCAGAGGATGTAAGCGGAGTCTCTTGTGCAACTTTTGGAAAGTGCCTTGAAAGGAATTGACCTTCCCTTTTTCACTGTGTCCTCTATGCTGGCTGAAGTTTGGATCATGAGAAAAGATGGGCTCTTATTTTGAGGAGGTCAGAGTAGCAAAATGGAAGGAACCTAGGTTTCTGTGGATTATGGAGTCATTGTCTAAACCCTGGACTGCCTACCTTAGTGATTTTTAACCTGACAGAGAAGTAAACTACTATCCATGTTTGAGATCCAGTTATTTTATTTCTTCTGTCTTTTACAGCTGGATCTAATCTTAATTGACATACCAGCTCTTCCCAAAACGGTGACATAAAGCTAAAGGGAACTGTGTGACTATGGCAATGACAATGTTTTTGTAGACACAGTGAGTCTCTTATGTTTTAGGTAGTGATTGAATTTTGCTTATTGCTAGCCTGATAGGTTGTGCTGTAAAATCTTTTCAAGTGTGCCAAGAAAAAATCTTAAAAATTGCTGCAAATAAACAAGTTGAGAACCACTGCAGTAAGGAAAGAAGATGATAATCCCATGATTACTTGTGTTTTCCTCTGCCTGTCTCCTATCATACATTTAAAAGTTGCCTAAGAGCATGGGATCATGGGTGTCCTCTGACTTTGGACCTCCTAGAGATTGTTTTTGATGTGCTCGCTGTGACTAAACTAGCGTGTTAGAGCCAAAACGTGAAGCAGTTTCCAGCCTAGGTATGGCTGCAAAAACACAGTAAATATTTTTTAAAATTTGATTTTATTTTTAATTAACAAATAATAATTGTATATATTTATAGGGTAAAATGTGGTGTTTTGCTATATGTTTCTGTTGTAAATGATTAAATTAATTTACATGTCCTCATGTACTTTATTTTTGTGGTGAGAACATTTAAAATCTACTCTTTAAGCAATGTTTTCTTGTTCTTTTTCTTTTCTTTTTTTCTTTCTTTCTTTTTTTTTTTTTGACAGGCTCTGGCTCTGTGACCCAGGCTGGAGTGCAGTGATGTGATCTCTGCCTGCTGGGTTCAAGCCATTCTCCCACTTTAGCCTCCCGACTAGCTAGGACTACAGGTATGCACTGTCATGCCCAGCTAAGTTTTTGCACATTTTGGTAGAGACAGGGTTTTGCCATGTTGCCCAGGCTAGTTTCTAATTCCTAGGCTTAAGCAATTCTGCTGCCTCAGCCTCCCAACTGCTGCAGGTATGAGACACTGTGCCTGGCCAGCAATTTTGAAATACACGTTATTATTAACTATAGTCACCATGCTGTGGAATAGTTCTCTAAAACTTATTCCTCCTGTCTCTCTGAAACTCTAGGTCCTTTGACCAAATCTCAGCATCCCACCTCTCAGTACCTGGTAACCACCTTTCTGCTCTCTACTTCTATGAGTTCAACTGTTTTAGATTTCACAAATAAGTAAAATCATGTGGTATTAGTTCTTCTGTGCCTAGCTTATTTTGGAGGGTATTTTAAGGCACAAATATGTTGTAGTGTAATTATATTGTAATTTTTCCTGACCTGATGTCCCCTGTCCGTAAAATTATTTTATTGAAACCCAGGCTCATCCCCTAAGACTCCCTGTCTAGAATAATAGATATCTTACTTCTCCATTTAACATAATTGTTCTGTCTGCATCTAGTCCCCACTTTTTCTCCAAATAGTTTCTCAAGCAAATGGAGTTCCTTTTCTGAAAGGATGAGTAAAACTTTAACATCTTTAAATCTTTATAGACATATGTTAAACCAAATAACTTACATTGTACATGGTTTTATAACCCTCTGTAATACTTATGAACTATATTGTACAATTATTCTAGTTATTATATATTGCTCTACAATGCCATTTTTAGTGGTTGCATATTGGTTATTACTTGGATAGTCCATAACCTACCTAACAAAGTCCTTAATGTCTGGAATTAAAGTGGTTTCTCATTTCAACTGTTAGCAAAAACACTACAATGCATGATCTTGTACACATGAAAAGAAATGAGATGAGAACTTCATTGACTTCAAAGGCAGCTTGAGGATTCAGATCTTCACATCTACACAAGAGACAAGATTTGCAGATTTGGGAAAAAGGCTAAGCACGGTTTTAAGCCTTTCAGTACATATTGCCAAATTGCCCTCCACAAATCTTTGACCATCACTTACAAATTCTGTTCCTTTGTATAGCTGAATAATATTCCACGGAATGCATAAGTTCCATTTTGTTTATCCATTCATCTGCTCATAGAAACTTGGATTGTTTCTACCTTTTGGCTATCATGAACAAAGCTGCTATGGATATTCGTGTTAAAGCATCTGCTTTAGTCCTTGTTTTAAATTTCTTTTTTTTTCCTTTTTTTGAGATAGTCTTGTCCTGTCACCAGGCGCCAGGCTGGAGTGCAGTGGCATGACTTCAGCTCACTGCAACCTCTGTCTCCCGGGGTTAAGCAATTCTCCTGCCTCAGCCCCCCGAGTAGCTGGGACTACAGGCATGCACTGCCATGCCCAGCTAATTTTTGTATTTTAGTAGAGTTGGGGTTTCACCATGTTGGCCAGGCTTGTCTCAAACTTCTGACCTCTGGTGACCTGTCCGTTTTGGTGTATGTTTGGGGTTCTGCTCATGTAAGACTATGCATCTGTGCCTTGCAAGAATGGCAGCTTGGCTGAGTACAGAAATTTTACTGTACAATATTTCCTCTCAAACACTAACTTCTGCTACCTAGTGTTACAGAACAGAAGCTCGATGCTAATATAAATTTCTTCTTTTTTGCCCATCTCTGGAGATTGGCAGTATTGTTTTAAAATATCTGGATGGCATAATTTTCTTCCATGCAGGGCCAGGGCCCATTACTGTTCATCTTGATTTGTTTAGTAAGCCTTCAATGATCAATTTAGTCTTTTCCTTTCTAGCCTGAGAAATTATCTTCCATCATGTGCTAATTAATTCTTCTACTCATTCTGCTTTCTTTTATTTTTTTCTGAAATTTCTGTATTATATCTCTGTGTGTCTGTGTGTATATGTGTGTAATATCAAGTCTGGTTCTTGATGAATTCTGGAGAATTCAATCCTGTCTTCATTATCCCTTTGGGGTTTTGTGTGTGTGTGGTGTGTGTGTGTGTGTGTGTGTGTCTGTGTGTGTCTGTGTGTGTGTGTTTACAGGCTCCAATCTACCGGTCATTACTTCTTTTCAGACTCCCATGCGTTTCATTCACATCTGAACTTTTCTGATATCAAATAATTAAATCTAATAAATGTCTCTTATAGTTCCATAAATTCTATGTGATAAACACGAGACAGATTTCTAAAGATTTCCCCCTGCTTATTGGAGTAAACTGTTGTGTGGATGAGTATTTCTCTGATCTCTTAGGTTGGTTTCTTTTCTTTTCATTTGCTGTACCTTGCCTTAGATTTGGTGATTTTTTTTTTTTTTTTTTTTTTTTTTTTTTTTTTTTTTTTTTTGGTTTTTTTGCTTACCATAGGGAGATATATGTTCATTCACAATGGAGGTGAGAACAGTTTGGTTAAGAGGTTGTGTGAAAAGCAGTTAAAATCATCCAGGCTCAGACATAGTGAGAAAGAAGGAATATTGACTCACTGTGGTAATAGAATAGGATGGGGCTGATGACCAGAGGCAGTTATTTGAGTAAAATTTAACATCTATCACATTTTTCCTTTCTGAATTTATCATGGCAATCAAAAATGAGTACACAGTCTTTTTTCTTTTTATTATATTTTAAGTTCTGGGATACATGTGCAGAACATGCAGGTTTGTTACATAGGTATACGCTAGCCATGGTGGTTTTCTGGACCCATCAACCCGTCATCTACATTAGTTAATAAATGGTGTTGGATTCTTCTAATGCTATCTGTCTCCTAGCCACCCCCCGACCCTGACAGGCCCTGGTGTGTGATGTTCCCCTCCCAGTGTCCATGTGTTCTCATTGTTTCACTCCCACTTATGAGTGAGAACATGCAGTGCCTGGTTTTCTGTTCCTGTGTTAGTTTGCTGAGAGTGATGGTTTCCACCTTCATCCATGTCCCTGCAAAGGACGTGAACTCGTCCTT